AAAATACCCACAACAACCAAATCTTTGACAGGAACCAATTTTATTTCCTATCCCGCATCAGGACAAACCAATAGGCATGCAGTTTTCTTTCCTTAGACATAGAAGCAGTTTTAACACAAGTCCTTGCAAAGCCACAACATAGCAAAAGTATTATGTATAAAAATTTCACATATCCATATTGATCACCTCAAGATGCAAGTAACTCTCAACAAAGTGGTTATAGAGGGAACATACCTCAACATAATAAAAGCCATATATGACAAGCCCACAGCTAACATCAAAGCTTTTCCTCTAAGATTAGGAACAAGACAAAGATGCCCACTCTCACTATTCTTATTCAACACAGTATTGAAAGCCCTAGACACAATAATCAAACAAGAAAAAGAAGTATAAGACACCCAAATTAGAAAGGAAGAAGTAAAACTGTAACTATTTGGGGCTTCCCTGGTGGTACAGTGGTTGAGAATCTGCCTGCTAATGCAGGGAACACGAGTTCAAGCCCTGGTCTGGGAGGATCCCACATGCCGTGGAGCAACCAGGCCCATGAGCCACAACTACTGAGCCTGCGCGTCTGGCACCTGTGCTCCACAACAAGAGAGGCTGCAATAGTGAGAGGCCCATGCACCGCGATGAAGAGTGGCCTCCGCTTGCCACAACTAGAGAAAGCCCTCACACAGAAACGAAGACCCAACACAGCAAAAATAAATAATTAATAAACTCCTACTCCCAACATCTTCTTTAAAAAAAAACAAAAAACTGTAACTATTTGCAGATGACATGATATTATATATAGAAAACCCAAAAGGCTCCACCAAAAAACTCTTGAGAACTAATAAATAAATTCAGTAAAGTTGCAGGATGCAAAATCAATATACAAGATCAGTTGCATTTCTCTACACTAATAACAAGTTATCAGAAAGAGAAATTAAGAAAACAATGCCATTTACAATTGCATCAAAAAGAATAAAATTCCTAGAAGTAAATTTAACCAAGGAGGTAAAAGACTTGTACTCGAAAAACTATAAGACATTGATGAAAGAAATTGAGGACAACACATAAAAAATGGAAAGCTATTCAATGCTCATGGACTACAGGAATTAATATTGTTAAAATGCCCATACTACACAAAGCAATTTACAGATTCAATGCAATCTTTACCAAAATTCCAATGGCATTTTTCACAAAAATAGAACAAACAATCTGAAAATTTTTATGGAACCACAAAAGACCCCAAAAAGCCAAAGCAACCTTGAGAAAGAACAAAGCTAAAGGCATTCATTATATGCTGCAATTTCAAACTACATGACAAAGCTATATTACTTGAAACAGTATGGTACTGGCATAAAAACAGACACATAAATCCATGGAACAGAGTAGAAAGCCCAGAAATAAACCAACACATATACAGTCAATTAATTTATGGCAAGGGAACCAAAAATAGGTAATAGGGAAAGGACAGTCTCTTCAGTAAATGGTGTTTGGAAAACTGGACAGCCACATGCAAAAGAATGAAACTGGACCACTATTTTAGGCCATACATAAGAATCAACTCAAAATGGATTAAAGACTTGAATATAAGACCTGGAATCATAAAACTCCTATAAGAAAACAGGCTTTAAGCTCCTTGACATAGGTCTTGGTGATGATTTTTTGGATTTGATACCAAAAGCAGGAATAAACAAGTGGTACTACATCAAACTAAAAGGCATCTGCATAGCAAAGGAAAACACCAACAAAATGAAAAGGCAAACAATGGAATGGAAAAAAAATATTTGCAAATCATATATCCAATAAAGGGTTACTATCCAAAATATATAAAGAATTCATACAACTCAATAGCAAAAAAGACAAATAATCTGATTAAGAAATGGGCAGGGAATCTGAATAGACATTTTTCGAAAGAAGACATACAGATGGCCAACAGATACATGAAATTGTGATCGACATCACTAATCATTAGGGAAATGCAAATTAAAACCAAAATGAGGTATCACCTCACACCAGTCAAAATGGTTGTTATCGGCTTCTGCCAGAAGCTGGAATTCACTGTCTCCCGGGTGAACAAGGCTGTTGCAATGAGGGTCGGCAAGTGCAGGTTTGCCCTCCTGCAGACATGGTGCGCAGAAAGTCAAAACAGAAGCCACCCCCCAGGAAGAAGATGACAGTCTCCCTAGATGCCCAGTTCACCTGCCCCTTCTGCAACCACGAGAAGTCTTGTGACATGAAAATGGACCGGGCCCACAACACTGGAGTCATCTCTTGTACCATGTGCCTAGAAGAATTTCAGATGTCCATCACTTATCTGTCAGAACCAGTGGACGTGTACAGCAATTGGATAGATGCCTGTGAGGCAGCCAATCACTAGCAACACAGAGGACCCACCCCCTTGGCAGCCTCACCTGCTGGGTACCAATCCAGAGACATTCCAGGGTCCAGGGTGTGGGTCCAGGGCCTTTGCAGCCCTGTGTGTATGTGGAATTGGCATGGATGTGGGTGTGGGTGTAAGTGTGGGTGTGGCTGCAGGTGTGACTCTGGCGGTGTCCTCGTGAGCATGGGGTAGTGTTGAAGGGTTGCTGTGCTCCAGGGTCCTGAACTGCTTCCCTTGACTCCAAAAGCCTTTGACTTGCTCCCTCCTCTGGCACCTGGCCCCCTGGCTTTGGGGTCTTGGCTCCTCCAGGGACCTGTGTCCTGACATCCTAGGTGAGGGCAAGCCCAGCAGAGGCTGCCTCAGGACTCTCCAGCATCTTCCCCCACCTCACCAGCACTTGTCCATTTGAACTGGACTGACTACCCATCCTCCTTCCCTGCCTTCCAAGGCCTGTGGCCTGGGATTCAAGCCACAGCCCCACAGGCCCCCTGGCAGAGTGGCCTGTTTTCATGTTTGGCCACTTTTGTAGAGGAGGGAGGGGCTGGGTTGGGGATAGCTGTCAGTCACTGGCCCTTAAATAAAGCAGCCAACACACACACACACACACACACACACAAAAATGGTTATTATCAAAAAGGTAAGAAATAACAAGTGTTCATGAGGATATAAAGAAAAGGGAATCCCTGTGCTCTGTTACTGAGAATGTAAATTGGTGCAGCTATTAGGGAAAACAGTATGGCGTTCCCTCAAAAAATTAGAAATAGAACTACCATATGATCTAGAAATTCCACTTCTGGATATTTATCCAAAGGAAACTTGAAAAGTTATCTGCTCCCCCACATTCACTGCAGCATTATTTACAATAGTCAAGACATGGAAGCAAACTAAGTGTCCATCAATGGATGAATGGACAAAGAAAATATGGTATGTATATATACAATGGAATATTATTTAGCTATAAAAAAGAAGGAAATCTTGTCATTTGCAACAACCTGGATGGAACCTGAGGGCATTATGCTAAGTGAAATAAGTCAGAGAAAGACATACCATACAATCTCACTTATATGTAGAATCTAAAAAACAAAAAACAACAACAACAATGAATGCATAAATACAGAGATCAGGTTGGTGGTTTCCAAAGGGGAAACAGGGGGTGGGGGATGTGAAATGGATGAAGGGCACCAAAAGGTACAAACTTCCAGTTATAAAATAAATAAGTCATGGGATATAATATATAGCATGGCAACTATAGCTAATAATATGGTATAAGCATACCTTGTTCTATTGCACTTGAATTTACTGCACTTCACAGATATTACATTTTTTACAAAAATGCAGGTTTGTTGCAATCCTGCATTGTCAGATAATGGTTAGCATTTTCAGCAAAAAGTATGTTTTAATTAAGGTATGTACATTATTTTTTTAGACATAATGTTATTGCACACTTAATAGACTACAGTATCGTATAAACATAACTTTTATATGTCCTGGGAAACCAAAAAATTTATGTGACTCACTTTATTGTAATGATAACTTTACTGCTGTGGTCTGGAACTGAACCCACAATATCTCCAAGATATGCCTGTATTGTATATATATATATATATATTTTTTTTTTTTTTCTTGCGTTATGCGGGCCTCTCACTGTCGTGGCCTCTCCCATTTGCGGAGCACAGGCTCCGGACGCGCAGGCCCAGCGGCCATGGCTCACGGGCCCAGCCGCTCCGCGGCACGTGGGATCCTCCCGAAACGGGGTACGAACCCGCGTCTCCTGCATCGGCAGGCGGACTCTCAAGCACTGCGCCACCAGGGAAGCCCTGCCTGTATTGTATATTTGAAAGTTACTGAGAGAGTAGACCTTAAAACTTCTCATCACAGGAAAAAAAAATTATATGTGGTGATGAATGTCAACTAGACACTGTGGTAATCATTTTACAATATATATACATATCAAATCACTATGTTTTACACCTTGAAACTAATGTCATATGTCAATTATATCTCAATTTAAAAAAATCTAATTGGCAATAGCCAAATGATAAAATAGCTAGGAAAAGGTAACAAAAGTTCAAAACCTATATGAAGAAACAACAAAATTTATTTCAGCAAGATAAAATATCTTGTTAAAACAAGAGCTGAATAAATTAAAAAACAAAGCAAGTCAGAATGAAAAATTTAAAAAAAAGAAGGGCTTCCCTGGTGGCACAGTGGTTGAGAGTCTGCCTGCCAATGCAGGGGGACACGGGTTCATGCCCCGGTCTGGGAGGATTCCGCATGCCGCAGAGCGGCTGGGCCCGTGAGCCATGGCCGCTGAGCCTGTGCGTCCGGAGCCTGTGCTCCCCAACGGGAGAGGCCACAGCGGTGAGAGGCCCGTGCACAGCAAAAAAAAATAAAATTAAATAAAATTAAAAAAAAAAAAAAGAAAAAGAAAGAAAGAAAAGGGAAAAAGCAGGTAAATTTCTAAATGTTAACTGACTCTATTCCCCTATCATTAAACATAAAAACCTTATGGGAAAAAATAGAAATTCAAATAAAATTAACATACTTGTCATAAAAAAAATCTATCTGTGGGGAAGTATGGATAACAAATGTGTAAATTTCAGAATGAGATAGACAAAAGTTGGGAGACTGGTTAATTTTCCCCTCCTTCTCCTGCTTCAGACTTGTCCACTTGGGCATCCAATGTTCACAATGTCAAGCTGCCTCTCAGTCACTGCATTGTTAGCATGCTGTCTTTGTGTGATTCTTTACTTAACATATCAAGCTCAGCAATGGCTTCATCAAAAGCTGACTTAACAATCTTAAGTCTATTGACAGATGAATATGTAAAGAAAATGTGGTATACATATACAATGGAATACTATTTAGCCATTAAAAAGAAGGATATTCTACCATTTGCAAAAACATGGATGGACCTTGAGTGCATTACGCTAACTGAAATAAGTCAGACTGAGAAAGAAAAATATCATATGACCTCACTTATATGTGAAATCTAAAATAAACTCATAGAAACTGAGTCAGAATTGTGGTTGCTGGGGGCGGGGGCATAATTGGGTGAAGATGGTCAAATGGTATAAATTTCCAGTTGTAAGATAAATAAGTTCTGGGGTATAATGTACAACACGATGACTATAGTTAACAGTACTGTATATTTAAAAGTTGCTAAGACAGTAAATCTTAAAAGTTCTCATCACAAGGAAAAAAAAATTATAATTATGTGAGGTGATGGATGTTAGCTCAACTTACTATGATAATCATTTTGCAACATATACATTTTTTAAAGCTTTATGTTGTACACCTTAACACATATAGTGTTATATTTGAATTATATTTAAATAAAACTGGAGGGGAAAAGAGCTCTCTTTGCAAGAGAGCAGGCTTTATCCAGGAAGTTTAGAATTGCACAATAGAACAGAGAACTTACAGCCCAGATCCAATACAATAGGATGTTTTTGGTTGCATTTTCTGTTTCTGACTTGGAAAGCTTCTTGGTAGCCTTGCTGTGACTGCTCCATAATCCTTTCTTGTCATCACCAGCAGTAAACTGACCAAGTAACAGTAGTAGTCTCCTTTCATTTTCAAGTAGAAGACTTTGCTCTGGGTTTGTGAAATACTGGGGATGAAGAATTTTTTCCAAAAGAGACAGTAAATCATTTTCAGATATCTCGGAGATCACTTTCAATTTTCTCTCTGTATTCTCAAGCCATTGGAACCTTCCATCATTTTCTCAGTACTTGAGACAACCCTCCAAGATGATCTATGGGCTCCAGAACATTTTCATAAGCTACTGAGAGAAGATTAATTTGGCTTCTTGCTCAGTTACAGACTTCACGCAGGCTGCCATGTCAACATATCACTCAGCTTGCTTGCTCAGTTTGGCCTCTGCACCAGCATGTTTTCATCCGTGACTGGAAGCTTGTGCCAGAAGTGGATGGTGGTGGATGGAGAGGAGTCCTGCTGGCTCTGAGCAATGGCAGTGGGGAGGCTGAAACTGTTCCTGGATCTCGCTGCTCACAGGCTCTGTGTTTCTGTCTTCAATTTGTGGCAAAGTGAATATGAAAGAAGTAATAATTGTGTTACGCCTTGATCCTTAAATTCATTATAGTAGGTTCTTTTTCCTTGTGGAGGATTCCAAACTGATCCTATGAACTCTTGCAGAAATTTCAGCTCAGGAAATGATAAATGTTTATCCCATCACCAACCTCCTTAGTAAATTTTTCTCCAGTCTTTTACAGGGTTTGGGAATAATTCTCACTTATTCAGGTGATCGCCTGGGTTTGACTGCCTTGGGTCACTCTGTTTCCTTCTAAATCACTTTTACCACAAGTACTGTAACCTCCATAGTTACAACAAAGTTGTATATAATACAACAAAAGTTGTACATAATCAGCATTTCCTATAATTAATGATATCACTTAATTCTTAAATTCACCTTTGTGGACAAAGAATGTTGCCTGTGATATCAAAAACAATAGACTTGGGCTTCCCTGGTGGCGCAGTGGTTGAGAGTCTGCCTGCCGATGCAGGGGGACATGGGTTCATGCCCCAGTCTGGGAAGATCCCACATGCCGCAGAGCGGCTGGGCCCGTGAGCCATGGCCGCTGAGTCTGCGCGTCTGGAGCCTGTGCTCCACAACGGGGGAGGCCACAACAGTGAGAGGCCCACATACCACAAAAAAAAAAAAAAAAAAAAAATTCTTTTGGCCCCAGGGGAGCCACTAGCCACTGCAGCAGGCCCCACACCCTGAGGGGATTCAGGTTGGAGAAAGCAGAATACTGGACCTAGATAATTAAGGTGTCTATCAAAGGAAGGATTTCAATGAGCTCAGACTCTCTTGCATCTTCCCATACATAGAAAAGCACTAAATTCATGAACAGGAGACTTCTGGTGTTTCTTTAATTAATAGTAATCTTTTCATGTTCTAACTACCTGGTTTTTTTGTTTGTTTGTTTGTTTTTTGGCAAAAACTTCTGTATATTCTTGCTCCTCTCTTACCTCTTCAGAATAGTCCCTCAGGGCTATCTGAGAGCCTATCTCCCCAGCTTAAGTCCTCGGTATGTCTGCCAAATAAAACATAATTCTCAACTTTTAGGTTGTGCATTTTTTTTCAGTCAATACCTAATTAATGCAAATATTTCAAAAAATGAATGTTTTTCTTGAAAGTAACATGCAGTTTACTCAGCCATTGAAAGGAACGAAACTGGGTCATTTTTAGAGACATGGATGTACCTAGAGAGTGTCATACAGAGTGAAATAAGTCAGAAAGAGAAAAACAAATACCGTATGCTAACACATATATATGGAATCTAGAAAAATGGTATAGATGATCTTATTTGCAAAGCAGAAATAGAGACACAGATGGAGAGAACAAATGTATGGATACCAAGGGGGAAAGGGGAGGGGGGTGGGAGGAACTGGGAGACTGGGATTAACACATATACACTACTGGTACTATTAGACAACTAATGAGAACATAATGTATAGCACAGGGAACTCTACTTAGTGTACTGTGGTGACCTAAATGGGAAGGAAACCCAAAAAAGAGGGGATACATGTTTATGTATAGCTGATTCATTTTGCTGTACAGTAGAAACTAACACATTGTAAAGCAACTATACTCCAATAAAATTTAATTAAAAAAAGAAAGTAACATGCAGTATGTACTTTTTATTCTTCTACCCTATGTTAGAAGAATGAACAAAACTTTGTTACTCTTTTCAGAATATACTATTTCAACATGATAATTTAGCAAAATGTGGCATAAAATTTTGAGATTAACATATAATTTGTAATTTTATACATTAAAAAATCCACAAAATAAAATATTTTATAATTTTTGAATATATTCATAGTAAAGCCAACTGTGTTGAATAAAGTCAGATATATTAAAGGGACAACAAATTAGAATCCATCTAGCTGTCAGAAAAAAGAATCATTATTGCAAACCCAAATCATCATAAATCACAGTAATGAGCCTCAGGTAGAACTATTACATTGTATTATGCTGCAGTATTTCAGGTCCTTAAAATAAGTAAAATTGCATGTATTTTAATATAAAAAGATACCATATACCAATCCTCTAAGTTATTGCTTTCCACCACGATGATGGATTTATGTTAATCTTTTCATCCTCTTTTGAGTAGTTAAATCTACAATTGTCAAAAACAGCAAAGGTTAAGTAGGCTAGACTTCTGAGTAATATTCTCAGTAATCTGTTGACCAAGATGGCCTGAGGCCTTTAAAGTTCCCCTCAGTTTGACTAAATTGTAAACAGGTTTTTTTTTTAAGACTATAAACTTCTGACCTCCCTTTTCTTAGAGCAAGTACTCTAGAAAGCTTTCAATCATAAATTATTTCTCTGTCCCTTTGAGATATAAATTTTCTCCTAGGCTTTTGTCCATTTTACAACTCAAGAATGTCTTTCTCAGGGACCTGGGAGCCATTCCTTTGAAATGTAATCATCAAGAAAGATAGGGACACTATCTCCCAGTCTTTGTGGGAGGATAGAAGCCTATCTTCCATAAGTTCCAATTAGCAAACACAGATGGCCTAACACATTGACCAACCTCCTCTAAAGTCCTCCAGTAGTTTTCCATCAGCTTGCCCCAGGGCTTAAAAATCCTCTGGCCTTTTGTTCCCCAGAATTGGGTTTAATCTCTCTACCCTGTTGCAACAGCCTCGAATAATGTCTTTCTTTCCTGCTTAACTCTGTCCAGTACAATTTTTCTTCCATGATCAAGTGGGACACCCCAGGGATGCAAGGATTCTTCACTATATGCAAATCAATCAATGTGATACATCATATTAACAAATTGAAGGATAAAAACCATATGATCATCTCAATAGATGCAGAAAAAGCTTTTGACAAAATTCAACACCGATTTATGATAAAAATCCTCCAGAAAGTGGGCAGAGAACCTACTTCAACATAATAAAGGCCATATATGACAAACCCACAGCAAACATCATTCTCAATGGTATAAAACTGAAAGCATTTCCAGTAAGATCAGGAACAAGAAAGGATGTCCACTCTTGCCACTCTTATTCAACATAGTCTTGGAAGTCCTAACCATGGCAATCAGAGAAGAAAAATAAAAGGAATCCAAATTGGAAAAGAAGAAGTAAAAATGTCACTGTTAGCAGATGACATGATACTATACACAGAAAATCCTAAAGATGCCACAGAAAACTACTAGAGCTAATGTATGAATTTGGTAAAGTTGCAGGATACAAAATTAATGCACAGAAGTCTCTTGCATTCCTATATACTAACAAGGGAAGATCAGAAGAGAAAGTAAGGTAACAATCCCATTTACCATTGCAAAAAAAGAATAAAATACCTAGGAATAAGGAGATAAAAGACCTAAGGAGGTAAAAGACCTGTACTCAGAAAACCATAAGATGCTGATGAAAGAAATAAAAAATGACACAAACAGATGGAGAGATATATCATGTTCTTGGATTAGAAGAATCAGTATTGTGAAAATGACTATAGCAACAGGAGTTTTGTAGATGTCTTTATCAAGTTTAAGTAAGTTTCTTTCAATTCCCAGTTTGCTGGCAGTTTTATCAGCAATGGAGTTTGGATTTTGTCAATTGCATTTCTGTGTGTCTATTGGGATGATCGTGTGTTTTTTTTCTGAACATTGGTTAGTTATCAAATGTTCAAACAACCTTTCCTTCTCAGATAAAATCCACTTGTTCATGATATATTCAACTTATGTATTATTGGATTTGGTTTGCTAACATTTTATTAAGGATTCATTTTTCATCTATATTCTTAAAGCATATTGTGTAGTTGTTTTATTCTTTTTTGATTTTTTTGTTTGTTTTTAAATGCTGGTGTCATCAAATGAATTGGGTAGTATTCAGTCCTCTTCAGTTTTCTAGGGGAGTTTATGTAGAATTGATATTATTTCTCCAAATGTCTGGTAGAATTTCCTGACGTTTTCTTTGTGTTAAGAAATGCAAATTCAATGCAAATTCAATTCTTTAATAGATATAAGGCTTTTAAGATTATCTAGTTTTTCTTGAGTGAGCCTTTAATAGTTTATGTCATTCAAGGAATCTATTTTCTCTCAGTAGTCAAATATATTGGCATAGAGTTGTTTATAATATTCCCTAAATATATCTACTGAATCTGTAGTGATGTCATCTCTCTTTATTCCTAATTTGTGTTTTCTCTCTTTTTTCTTGGTTAATCTAGTTAGATGTTTATCAATATTATTAGTCTTCTCAAAGAACCAGCTTTTGGTTACATCATTTTATCCTGTCTTACATTTGTTTCAGGCATCCTACTCTGTCCCTGTTAATCCATCTTGACCAGAAGCAGAGGTCTTAGCATGTGTGTTTTATAATTGATTTGAATCCTTTCTTCATAAAGTCAGGAAATAAATTCACACCCACTCAACACATTCACATACATGCACGTATACACACACACACACACACAAGTAAATGAACAAAATCTAAATAACTATTCTCACCATGTAATGTCTTTTATTCTCATTCAGCTTAATGCTGTAATGCTAACTTCTATTACTCCTGGACCTCTGTATCTTACCTGCCCTGTCCAATTCAAACTAATACCATATTCTGTCACCTCACTTTTCATTTGCCCTCAGAACACATATTAATAGGTATTCGTCACTCTAGACTATTGTTTAAGCCAACAACATGTCATACCCTTTAGGTCTGTCATTTCCCAGAACCACTGTTTTCTCAATATGTCTTATGCCATTTGCCCCATAACCTGACCTAAATATGCCTATCCTGACTGCAAGAATTTTGATAATATCTATAAAATATAATGATATTAAGAAAACTTAATTCTGAGAAAGAACACATATACAATTTATGGGGGCAGAAAGAGAGTATACGAG